AATCATTTGGGATTTGTTTTCATATTTCTTCTTTTCTCAAGCTTCTCCTGCCTTGCATAGGTCTCAGTTGCTAGCACCTGATCTGCATCCTGAGTGAATCTTTCTCAAGCTAAGAAACCTGTGTTGATTAGGCTTCTTACAATCTTCAAACATTAACTTGGGGCAAGCACACTGGATAAAATAAAAGTTTCTGTCACCAGGATTCTCACCTGGCCCTGGTTGGCCAGCTCACTACACACCTCTGGTCAGTACATTGCTATTGACTCTATATAAAGAGCCCTGCCCACTGCTCTGCCATGACGTAGTGGCATGGCTGCGGGAGAGCAGAGCAGAGGCTGGAGTGGTCGCAGCACCAAGGACAGAGGCCCAGAGGACGGCTGTGCAGGCAGAGAAGCCCAGAGGCAGAGACTGGCTTGCTGCGTGCAGACTTGCACTGAGTGGACAAGATTTTAGTGATTGACCTGCCACTGTGGAAATGAAGTTGGGTATAACTTTTTGACTTCAAGAACGTTCTACTGTCATTTCTTTGGACACACTGAGTCCATAGTGAACTTGCTAAGGGTTGAAACCCTTTGGCAAGACCCACACAACAATGGGCTGTACCAGAAAACTATGTTTCCTGTCGTCAATGAATGGGAAACCTTTTTTGCTTTGTACTGGATGGGAGTGCATGACACTCCTTGGGCATCATTCTACTTATGCCAAAACAGCCATTTCAGTGGGATGTAAAATGGGAACTGTCCTGTATTACTCCTCATCAAATGTTTGTTCCTGACAAGGGACAACTTTAAATGTGTTAAACAGTAGCAACAGATCCTTGTTTCTGATCTGGATTATGGGACTGAACTCTTAGAAAAGAGCATTTGGATTTTCTGCTCTGAGGAAAACAATTTTCCACATGAAAAAGAGATTTGAAAGATGGACTTGTCCACCAAATGAGGGATTTCTTGAAGTTATGCCAGGTTTTCCAAATGGGACTAGAGTCCTCACATTCTCCAGCCAAATGCAAAGAATTTATAAAACAGACCAAATTAGATCAAGAATCAAGGAGATATTCCATCTTCTTGTCTTGCTGGCTTTGTAGATATATGGTTCAAGTCGTGTACCTTTCTCCTATAACTGGCAACTTTAAAGCAACTGAGCTGTTGCTTGAATGATTGAAAAGAAACCCAGCCTATCAGACATGTTGAAGTGAGCCCATTGTCACTCATTGTAGTCTTAGGACCTACTAAATGGGAAAAGCATGAAATAGTTTTGAACTCATTACAATGAAAATTGGATACCCCAAAAATTGAATTACCACATAGAGATAGTCTTGCCAATGGGTTTCAGCCCGGGGCAAGCTCACTATGGATTCACTGTGACCAAAGAAAATGATAGCAAACATTATCTGGGGTAAAAGGGCGGGACAACGGTTCAGGCGCAGATTCCAGCAGCGGGAGGTATTCCCGGGAAGTACCTCTAAGGCTTCAGTGTCCCCATTCTCAGCTGGGGCAGTACTTTTCTCTCCAGCTTCTTGCTGATCGTCCTTCCCCCACTGGGCACCTTTGTTAATCTGCAGTCCAGCTCCTTTCTTCGATGTTTTCCTCCGATTAGGTCCAGGTTTGTCAGAGCAGGTTTCGCTGACAATCGGGCAGCCCGTCTGCTGGGCTCCTGTTTGGTTACTGTGGGTCCGTCTTTGCCCTCTGTATTCGCTGGGGACTCCCGCCCCAGCATGCCGCAGCCACCCCCGGACCTCCTGGACAGCCCGCCGCCGCCGTGTCTCCCCGCAGCTCCGAGGAGCAGCCGCTGCTGCCGGCGGAGGCCGCATTGGCTGCCGCTGCAGCCTGACCCTGAGGGCTTGTCCCTACAAAGTAGTATTTTTGATAATTTTTATTCTCTTATAAATACCTTTAATATCATCTGGATTCTCCATAACAAGCATGTAAGGCATACTTATCCTATAAGATGGTATAAAATAAACACACAGGCTAAGATCATTGGCTTTGCAATAAAGGTCTGGCTGGGTTTGAATCCTATCTCTATCATTTACTAGTGACATAATTTCAGGGAATTACTTAACTTCTCTACTCGTCAGTTCCCTCATCTGAAATAACAGGATACTTTATTTTAAATATGGTTTCCATTTCTTAAGAATTCCACAACTTAAGCCTTTAGACTTTTGCAGTAAATGAGTTCCTCTACATAGACCATTTTAACCAGGAATGCCAAACATTAAGTATATGTTCCACAAATCATCACAACTACGATCTTTCTTGTTATAAAACACAAATGCTAACATTAAATTTAAAAGATGGATAAGTGAATAAAAGGGTGAAGAAAAGTTCATTTCAACTGTGTTTTAGCAGTTTTATTGATGTCATTCTGATTCCATAGAATTTGCCTCTTTAAAATGTATAGTTCCATTTTTCTATTGATAGAAGGTTCTTTTGAGAAGTAAAATGTATTTGCTTTTATTAAATGAGCCAAATTTTATACTCAAGGGCCCATTTTATATAAAAGGGCCCATTTTGTTGTAAGCCTTTTCTCTGTTGGTGCCAAGGGCAAGGGAAGCACCTTGGTGATAAGTTTCATGCGATTTGGTTGAAGTTTCTTTAAGTTTCACCGGCATGAAGAAGCGGGTGGCAGTCAGGGGAGGAAGCCTCCTTCCTGTTCTGGGTCTTGGGTCTGTGACCTGGGGCAGGAGGTGGACTTGGGTAGGCCTGTTTATGGAGGGAGTGAATCCTCTCCGTTACACTTTATGATTTTTTGTTCTTTGAATTTATCTTCTGTAAATTAACTTTTTCATTTGGCTCTTACCATTATGATGAATGCAAATGATTAGGAAGTATTTTTTAAGGATTAGCTGCTAAAGGAACTACAAATAAAGCCAGAATGTATCCTAAGGATGTATAAAACTGGAGTACTTAAGCTTTTGGTCTTAGAATCCCTTTGCATTTCAACCCCAAAGAGTTGTGTTTTTTTGTATGGATTATATTTATCAATTTATTTTATGTTAGAAATCAAAGCTTAGAAAGTTTAAAACAGAATACCAAGTACACATTTCCATTAGTCAACAGAACAATCACACCATCACATGCCATGTAGCCCTTGGAAAATCCCGCTGTACATTTGTTAAACAATGAGAATGGAATAGGTAAGTAATGTTGTAATATTGTTATGAAAATAGTATTGACCTCACAGACCCCTGGAAAAGTTCCCAAGGAACCCCTGCATCACACTTTGAGAATCACTGATGTAAAGCATCTTTTTCCCTGGCCCTCTACCTTGCAAATCTCCCTTTGGAATCGGGGCTTAAGTCCCCACTACAGTCAGCTCTGAGACTTTTAAGATAAGAAAAACTGAACTTCATCACTAAAAAGCCACAGTGGTTAAAAGCATACACAAACTGAATTTTCTTCTTCCAAATTCAAAGACCACCTCATTTAGCTGGTCTAGTGGCAGCTTCTAAGATTTGGTAAATGGTACCAAATCTTTTGGTAAAGAGATCTGTTTGCAGAAAGAAGGTCTCACAGTCACCAGTTTCCTGTTGAATTCAACTTTATATCCATCTCCAGCAGCCACCCAGGGCAAATCATTCATGTGATGTTCTTTCTTTGCTCTTTATTCACAGACGACTATCTGCCCAAAGAGAGGGAGAAGGGGACTTGAATGAAGAAAGATGGTACATTTTAGGCACCTTTATTAAGTATATTCATTGTGGGTTTTTTTCTTTTTTTACTAGGTGGATCACAATATTAAGATGCCCTATTTATGAAACACAAATGTTGGCATTTTAGTGTGTGTTCCTTGGGGCCATTTTGTTGTCAAGTTATAAGCACAGATAAATTGGAAGGCTGGGGGGAGAGGGTTGTTTCTTTTGGCTCTCCACACAAACAACATAGCTTAGAAATAGTTCCAAATGTCAAGTACATGTGGACAAGGCTCAGTTTATTTACTCATTTCCTGATTGATAGGTATTCAGGTTGTTTACGGTTTCCCCATTTTATAAGCAGTGTTGCCATGGAAAGAATACTCCTTGTGCCTAAATCTTTATGACATGTGTTAGAACCCCCAAAGTGGAACTGCTGAAACAATACTGTCATTTTACAGTGTGATGGCCATTACCCACTAGAGTGCCACCAGTTTACACAACTGCCAGCAGTTCATGAGGAGTCCCATGCCCCCACACTGTAACACTGCCTACCATATACTACTGCCCTTTGAAACCTGTCCAATCTAATGGGTAAAGGATAGTGTCTTGGTTCATTTTGCATTTTGCTATCAGGGAATGTGAACATCTTTTCATATATTTATTGGTCTTTTGTATGTCTTCTGCAGAGAGATATATATACCCATATTCTTGGCTGTTCTTTTCTGACAAAGGGGTTTGTCTTTTTTCTAACAAATTTAAACCTCTTTTTAAGCATTAACCTTTTATTTTTGTTTCCAGTATTTTGCACTGCTCATTGCTGTCTTTTAACCTCAATTATACATTCATGACACAGCAGCTTTTAAGTTTTATCTACTTAAATTTGTCAATCTCTTTATTTAAATTTCCTGAATTTTTTCTTTCCTTAGGAACTGCTTCCTACCAGGACTATCCCCAGGAGTGTAGAAGTACTGTGCTTTCTCCTAGACCCTTTATGACTTCAGTGTTTTGCAATTATATTTTTCCCATTTTATATATTTATGAGTATGTCTTTTAAATAATGCAATGTACACATTTAAGTGAATTTCCCCAGTGGAGAGCTCCTTGCCATAACATAACTCAGTGGAGTATTGTATCCTTTCCCTGATTCAGTTGAATTGCCACCTTTAACACAGGGAGTCTAGGGAGATTCACTGTGTGCTCCTAGAGTCGGAGTTTTGGATTGGAACCCAGATCTGCATTTTGGCAGTTCTATAAACACAAAAAACAGATACTTTATACAGAGCACCACTTTGTTCCCGGCTCCTCATGATATTTTGATTAAGCACCAGCCACTTAGGGCATCACTGCAACATTTGGTTAAGAGAAACTGACATATTTACATAATAACAAATCTGCCACTTTGAAATTATGTAAGCTTTGATTTATTTAACTTCTTTCCTGCCCCCCTGATTTCATAGCTATGAAGTGGAGAAAATAGTAAAAATTAATGTGTTACACCATATGAGGATTAAATAAGCTAATACATATACAAACACTTAAAATAATGCCAGGTTCTTTAGAAGAATTCAGTACAGTTAACTCTTTTTAGATACTTACCCCTTCATGTGTATATGTGTACCTGGGATCTGCTCTGGGCTATCTATGGCACCATCATCAAATAAAACTCAGGGTGTGGATAGAAATGCTGCATATCTGCACTTTCCAGTGTAGTAGTTATTAGCCACATATGGTAGTTGGTAGAGCACTTAAGATGTGGCTAGAATGAATGAAGAATGAATATTTTAATTTTACTTATTTAATTTTAATTTAAAATTAAATAGCCACATATGGCTCGTATCTGCCATATTGGACAATGCCAATACCATGCTAGTCAAAGGCTTCCACTGGTTACACTTTATTTTATGAAACAAGTTTTCTTGAATCCTCAATAAGGATTATATTTAGGACTGAATTTTTAATTTTATCAGATGATTTTCCTTCATTATCAAGAGAAATATGTCATTCTTCTCTTTAATTTTTTTGAGCTGTGAGCTCCTAGGAGTGATAGATCTAGTTTCCAGTTGGAGTCAATTTATTCTTAAACTGTATTGGTTCTTATTTTATTCTTTGACCACATGGTTAAATTTGATTTTTAACTGTTATTTAGGGCTCTTCTGCATTCACATTTGAGATTATTTTAGATTGTATTGTACCAGTGGTATAAGCATTTGTTGACTTGGGGAAATGAATTGGGAAGTTTCATTTTCTAGATTCTGAAACAGATTGAATGCTGGAGTTATTGTCAGTTCTTGAGAGTTTAGGAGAACTGGTAAAAAAAAAAAAAAAAAAACAACTAACCCCCCCCTGGGGCTTTGTACCTTGGGGTGGGTGGGGTAAGGGACTAGATCCTTACATTAATTATTTATTCTGTGATGATTTTCTATTCATATTTTCTATTTATCATGCAGTTTTGAAGCTACTGAAGCTCTAAAGAAAATCTGTCCTGGGGTAGTGTCTTAGCTGGGTCTCTCAGAACAAATTACCATAGACTGGATAGCTGAAACAGCAAACATTTATTTCACATGGTTTTTGAGGCTGTGAAGTCTGAGGTCAAGGCACTGGCAGGTCCAGTGTCCGGTGAGAGCCTTATTCCTGGCTTGCAGAGGCCTGCCTTCTTGCATCCTCACAGGGTGGAAAGAGAAAGGGCAGCTCTCTTCCTCTTCTTATAAGAACACTCATCCCATCAGGGGGGCTCCACTCTCATGCATCATTACCTCCCAAAGTCCCCGCCTCCCAATACCATCACTCTAGGCCTCAGTGTGTGAATTCTGGGGAGACAGACAGTCCACAGCAGGCAGCAGTGTCTACGCTCAATGATGCTCTTGATGTAAGGACTTGAAATAGTGAGTTTGAGACTTATACAAAGATTTAAGGATGTTTAGCCCACCATTTTCAGTAGAGCAAAATTGGAAACAACCATGAGAACTGGCTAATAGATACTATATACCCATTAAAATCATGCTGTAGAAAAACTGTAATTCTCATATGACTGGTAGATTTTAGAAATATTAATATTGCTATTTTTAATATTAGCCTAGAATGA